TTTTTTTAAACTAAATAAATCTGTTGTATCCGGATTGCTTGTTAATGTTGTTTCGATAAGAACTTGATCCAAGACACTGGGCTTACCCATTTTCCACATTCACTCAACATAATGATAATTCGGTTTCCGTACCAATTATTTTTTAATCAAATTTTTGTGTTTACTTAATTTTGAAATTATAAGGCAAAATATTATAGTTTAATAAAAAAAATTATGATATTATATTTTTAATTTCATGAATGAATTTGATATACTATTTAGAGAAATTAAATTAGTTTAAAGAAGCAACAACCATCCTATTTGTGAAGCTAAAAAATTAAAGAGTAATGATACTTGCATCTATTTGTTGCAGTAAAGATTTTTTTTTTTCAAAATCTGTTGTATTTTTTTTTTTTTAACTAAATAAAACTGTTGTGTCCAGATTGCTTGTTAATGTTGTTTGGATAAGAACTTGATCCAAGACACTGGGCTTACCCATTTTCCACATTCACTCAACATAATGATAATTCGGTTTCCGTGCCAATTATTTTTTAATCAAATTTTTGTGTTTACTTAATTTTGAAATTATAAGGCAAAATATTATAGTTTAATAAAAAAAAGTACGATATTATATTTTTAATTTCATGAATGAATTTGAAATACTATTTAGAGAAATTAAATTAGTTTAAAGAACCAACAACCATCCCATTCGTGAAGCTTTGCATCGATTTGTTGCAGTAAATTACTTAATCAAATGTTTCTCATTAGTTATTTATACACAATATATATAAGTGGAGGGTCCCACATCTTTATTTATGCATAAATAGATCAATTAAAAGAAATAGGTATAACAATTCACTATAATAAATGGGATAAATAAAGGAGTGAACTCTCCACTTACATGTATTGTGAATAAATAACTAATCGGAAACATTCGATTAGGTAATTTATTACAACAAATCGATGCACAACGTTTGGGATGCACAACATACCTAGATCGTTTCGTTGGATCGAAGTTCATTTAAAATGCATTCTTGTTCACATGCAAGTGTTAGTATGTTTGATTTTTACCTTTTAAAGTTGTAATACATAATTAGGATAAAAATGTCATTTTTGCCTTGGACTTGTAATGTGTGCCTAAACACACTTTTTGACATTCATTCTATGTATATGATATGTGGCCAAGGGCCAAACTTTATTTGAAATCCATATATTTTCATAAATGTTGAATTTAGCCTTTAATGAGAATAATATGAAAAATTAGGGTTTAATATGTCATTTTTGCACCGGAGTGTGCATTGTGTATGAAATTTATCCTTTGGCATTCATTTATCATATATGAGGTGTGATCAAGGGTCAAACACCATTTTATTTTTGGTTTTACATCTTTGTTTCATATATTGCATTTTTTGGCTAAAATAGGAAAATCCGAACCTTTAAGGGTTCATTTTCAAATTGGGTGGCGTATAGTGTGTTCCGGCACATCCACTAGGATTTATTTTATATGCATGAAGTGTGGCCAAGGGCCAAATGGTCTTTTGATAGCATTAAAGTCCGGTTCTTGCGTTGTTTGTCTTTAATAGGCAAATTTCCCGCATTGGGGTTTAGGTAGATCATATTTTGCATCGGCGGTAATTTTAAACCGTGAATCATTGTAGCATGTCATAATAGATAAGTTACGTCTGCGTGCATGATTGTTTTTAAAGAAAAACTCATTCCTTGGTGAAATGAGCCTCCTATGGGCTCATTTTGCATTTTCTTTTGCAAAAACCATTCATAAGGGCATTTTGGGGTTTTCACATGAAAAATAAAGTTTTATTTTGGCATAGTTAGCTAGAAAACAAGATTTTTAAGAGAAGGGGGGGGGGGGGGGGGGGGAGTTTCTTCACAACGCTTTTCCAAAAAAGTCCCTTAAAGGCCTCAAAATCACATTTTAAGTTCAAAAAGCTATTTTGCTTGTCTGTAGGATGAGCGCTCGTCCATGGGGACGAGTGCTCGTAATTAGGGCTGAGGGTACTGCCCTGGGCGTGCCCTTGGACAAGCGCTCATCCATTCTTCTGTGTGTGTGTGTGTGTGTTTTGATTCAGCACTGCACTTCCAATTTCGAGTCGTCGTATCTTCTTTGTTTTAACTCTGAATTGGTCCGTTCTTGAGTCTAAATTAACTACGTCAAAATAAGCTTTCCAATGGTACCAATTACAGCTTCAGATTCCATTCGTACCTCAAGATATTCAAATTTTAGTGAGGTAGTGTCAGGATGGGGTTTTTTTTCCTTCGACTTCAAGACTTGATATCTTTGTCGTGGGGGGGAGTTACTTCACAACGTTTTTCCAAAAAAGTCCCTTAAAGGCCTCAAAATCACATTTTAAGTTTAAAAAGTTGTTTTGCTTGTCTGCTGGACAAGCGCTCGTCCATGGGGACGAGCGCTCGTAATTAGGGCTGAGGGTACTGCCCTGGGCGTGCCCTTGGATGAGCGCTCATCCATCATTCTGTGTGTGTGTGTGTGTGTGTGTGTGTGTGTGTGTGTTTTGATTCAGCACTGCATCTCCGACTTCGAGTCGTCATATTTTCTTTGTTTTAACTCTGAATTGGTCCGTTCTTGAGTCTAAATTGACCATGTCAAAATAAGCTTTCCAATGGTACTAATTACAGCTTTAGATTCCATTTGTACCTCAAGATATCCAAATTTTAGTGAGGTAGTGTCAGGATGGGGTTTCTCTTTCTTCGACTTCAAGACTTGATATCTTTGTCGTCCGGACTCCGAATTAAGTAATTCTTGAGTCCATATTTGTTAATTTTTTGTTGTCTTCCCAATGGTGTGCACGGTGGCACCCACCTCAGTTTGGAATGACCATTTTGCCCTTGGTCCATCTGGTCTTGCTTCCGCTGAGTCACGGGACCCCTCAGAAAGTCGTTATTATGTCTTAGGGATGACTTGCATCTCTATGAACTTGTTTATGTTTAGCTTTCGCATTTTTGGATCCATTTCAGGTTATCACAGGACACACTGGGTTTATAAAAATCCAGGGTCATCACATCAAGGATAAATTAGATCGAGGTTCGAGGCTTGTCTATCAATGGTTTGTGGCTAGGTTGGATCGAGGTTCAAGGCCCGTCGATCGACAGATGGTGGCCAAGTCAGATCGAGGTTCGAGACCCATCGATCGACAGTTTGTGGCGAGGTCGGATCGAGATTCAAGGCTCGTCGATCAACAGATGGTGGCCAAGTTGGATCGAGGTTCAAGACCCGTCGATCGACAGATAGTGGCCAGGTCGGATCAAGATTCAGGGCCCATCGATCGACAGTTTATGGCGAGGTCGGATCGAGGTTCAAGGCCCGTCGATCGATAGATGGTGGTCAGGTCGGATCGAGGTTCAAGGCCCGTCGATCGACAATTTGTAACGAGGTCGGATCGAGATTCAATGCCCATCGATCGACAGATGATGGCCAGGTCGGATCGATATTCAAGGCCCGTTGATCGACAGTTTGTGGCAAGGTCGGATCGAGATTCAAGGCCCGTTGATCGACAGATGGTGGCCAGGTCAGATCGGGGTTCAAGGCCCATCGACTGATTGTTAAGTTCAAGGCCGACTGGTCATTTGTTGTTTTTTCGCTGAGGTGGATTGTCTCGTCTGGGTGTTGATCATTTTTGTCTTCTTGCTTGTAGGTAGTACTATGGTGGGGTCATCTTGACTTGACCCTTGGTGACGTGGCAATACCACATCCACACTATGATCCCAAGTGGCATTGAAATCACCAGTTGAATCGTATTGCTGTTGAGTGTAGGATTGTGAATGAGAGTGTTAATTGTTTGACAAAACAAATTATATTGTTGTATTGTGTCTCTGACAATGTAAAAGTAGTGATCAAATGGAATGGATTAGTCAAAATTTGCCAAATTAAGGATTTAAAAGAGAAGAAACAGTTGGACTCATGAAGAAAAAGTCTCAATTTGGCCTTTTTCTTCGTCGGAATAAGAGCGGATACTACAGATAGAAAAGAAGATGGATGGCTGGATGGTTGTTGGTGGTGGTTCACCGGAGTCTCAAATTATTATTATTATTATTATTATTATTATTTGCAGAACATTTATATATCTGAATGCCTTTGGCTTCTGCATTTGGAGAGGTATTGAGAGAGAGAGAGAAGGGAGAAACGGATTTAACCTGTACAAATGGGAATTATCCATATTTTTATATTATTTTTAATTTGGACTGGTGTTAGGGAGGATGGCCACGTCAGGGAGGATGAACTTCATTTTTTAATTTTGGACAGGTGACCACGGCCATGACGATTTTGATGGCTTCGACACAATCACCAATCTGATCCAGATCGACAGAGTTCCGATCAAACATTATTGACTCGGAAAAGTTGTTTGCATAAACTGTTCCACAAGACGAACTAATGCCGGTACCTTCTGACATGGTGATCACTGGCAAGACGTTTGATGTATTATGAGTATCTTGCTGTTGTGTTGGTTTTTAGCGGAGAGAGAGAGAAGGGAAACAAGTTTAACCTGCAGTTTTTTAGTTTTGAACAGGGGTCATTCTAATAGGTGGCCACAGCCCTGCGCAGAATGGAATTATTACTCTTTTTAAAAATTGCAATTTTGGCTGTTCCAAAATGTATTCACAATCCAAATTCAATGTAATAAACCTTTTAACTTTCAAAAATAAAATAAAATGTAAGTAAGCTTTGAGTAATCACTGGTATAGCTTGTACAGGTGTCAAATCTCTTACTGGTGTTGTTTACAAACAAAACTTCCCCTACTAGGCTACCAAAACAACAAACACAGGCCACGAAACATAAAATAAAGCTCTCGGCATTAATATCAGAACCATAGTAATCAAGTAGATCTTGTTAAAATTACATATGACAGTTATTAAACATGCCAAAATTTAAATTTGAAAATCAGTTGTAAAAGGATTCTACACATTTATCATCCTGACAAGTGGTATATAAAATCTTACATGTAAAAGAAATTAAAGAACACGTACATCAAGAATAAGACAATATAGTCTATATGACGGGTTGAAACCATCGATGGTATGCACGCTCTTGCATTTGATCATGACATAGATTTAATGGTTCAACTTTATGATTTGCTAAATCATACACCCCAAAATCCTTATTAAATGAGTTTGCATTTGCCCGAATATCATCAATGAAATAGATGGAATTGGGTTTATATTTAGAATTATATCTAACTGAGACAAACTTAGAATCATTATGAGCCAAAAATAGAGCTTGATCACCGAAATTTGTCATCTCTTCCCATTCACCATTACTCCAATTTAACTTAAAAATCTCAAACAACTTTGTCCTCATTTTAAATTCTCCATCATCACGATGATAGTAATGGTCAAAACTCTTTGCAACCATCAACAATTCACCAGACCACGACTCCACCAAGTACCTGAATCGAGAGGTAAATTTGCCAGTACCGTTAGATATTACCTCCTCCTTATAATTAGAATAACATTTATCAAATAAGAAACGTCGAAGCACACCAAACTCGTCAACGGAGTAAAAATTACCGTTGTAAAATACCACGCACACCGGGGCGTAATTTGTAGTGAAAACGGGAGTCCATTCCCTGTCACTAAGTTTGTAAATAGCAATATCAAACGATGATGTATTGTATAAGTAGACCATGCAAGTGGGTTCAGTAATATTTGATGATGTGATGAATCTAAGTTCATTTGGATCAAAGACCATAGCCCGTTTCGGAGGTGGTGGAAGATGGACAACCATTCTTGAAAGGGGATTGAAGAGATACAGTGCACTCTCAAAAAAGGGATACAGTAGTAGCCATCCACGATAGGTAGCAACGCACCTGGTCCTTTTTGGAACAGCACCACCACTGCCCACCTCTTCCTCGATGCCTTCATCGTCTGCCATCCGGGTCCCCTCCATGGATTTTATCAATTCGGGATACATCACATTGCATAAGATACCGTAGTCCTTGAAGGACAACCTCTTCATTCTGGGTGAGGAGAGCCAATACTCAGCGGTGGTGTTTTTACCAAGACATAAGAGTTTGGCGGGAGATTTGTATAAGTCGGCCTTATTGTAAAGGAGGAGTAATGGAATAGTAGTAGTAGCAGCACGTGATATGACATTCAGTGCAGCAGATCGCCATGAATGACATACACCGCGGCATCGTAGAAGATCGAAAGTTGTAGTCACATGTGCCATTATCAACTCCAGCAGTTCTTGTGGAAGGTCGGACCAAGGGACAAGTAGGACCAGTACTCCTACTGTATGAATATTATTACCCATGTTCATGTGGGCTGATCAAACCTAGCAAGCTAACACAAGATTTGAGTGGGAAGCCAACAATTGATTCACAATTAACAATTAACAAAAAGAACAATAGATTGAATTAAGGTTTCAAGTCAAGGAGGAAATTAACCCTACTTATATAGAGCAATACGAGGAAATCTTAATTTTACTTTTCTTTGTTTCCTAATCCCGAAAGAACTCCTCTTTCTATATATTACTGTATACTTTTAGTCCAACATTTTTTTTTAATTGAAATTATTAAAACTTATTATAGGCCCTGTTTCCTAATCCCGAAAGAACTCCTCTTTCTATACATTAGTGTATACTTTTAGTCCAATTTTTTTGTTCTTTTTCTTTTTTTAATTGAAATTATTAAAACTTATTATAGGCCCGACCAAATGAACCTTGTGTATGTGTATAAATATATAATGAATCAAGTCGATCTAACGGTTACATCATCCTTCTCGGATTCCAACCATAACCATAGATCTCCAGTTTCATCAACAATATTATCAGAGTGGATAGAGAACTAACCTTGGTGTTTGCAGATGGAGTTCGGCGATTTCCAAACAGAAGAAAGCTATTTCCCAGATTGCCAGCAAAAGCTTGGATGCGGCAGGCATGGTTTTAAGGTTTCAATGTTTTGACTTGATATAATAAATTAAATCCACGGCTGAGATTAAGTGGGCCAAAGGGCTATTTAGTTAATAGGCTTTATTTGTAATTTTTTTTTTTTTTACTTCTTCTTTATTTGTGAGACGGGCCTCTAAAGATTAAACATTAATTGGCCTTAAGACATGGTCTAAACTTTGCAGCGGTGGTCCCTATAATACAAAACTACAGTATTCTTCTACTCTACACAAAATTCTTTAGTCTTCATTTGATTAAAAATTAATTGGCCTTAAGACATGGTCTAAACTTTGCAGCGGTGGTCCCTATAATACAAAACTACAGTATTCTTCTACTCTACACCAAATTCTTTAGTCTTCATTTGATTAGATTGAAATAAGTAAGGAAAGAAAAGAAATAAAAAATGAATGAAAAAAAAGTTATTTTTTATTAAGCATTTAGTTATCATTAAAATTTATTTAGGAAAATTGTATGAAAATATTAATTTGTTAATTATAATATGAAAATGAAAAAAAAGTGATTGTGCATATCAAAATTATCCTTATAATTTTAAATACTTAAAAAATAAATAAATTTGTATTTGATGATATATATTTTTATCAAAGTTTTTATAAAATGATAAATTATTAAATTTTAATAATATAATTATTTATATTGTTTAAATTAAAATAATTCTTCAAGACTTCTTAGGTAGAAACGTATAAATAGAACTATCTATTCATTTAAGATAAATAAGGGAGCTTAAGAATAAAAAAATAAATTTTTTTTTTCAAAAAAATTGGGGGCTCATGGAGTACTCATGGGCTTTCAACCAAAAAACACAAAAAGAAAAAAATATATATATTAGGGAGGGCTATTCGCAGTCCACTTTTCTACGTTTGCACTACAATCTTAAATGAAATAACAATTATAACATTAATTTTACAACTAAATGATTAGTACTTTTTAAATGTCACAACTGTCCTTTTAGATTTTCTCTCCTTATCTCCGATCTTTAATATGTTAGGTCTCTTTTGGCAAGATAAAAAATAATAATTATAAAAATAATTTGAATAATATTTTGTTTACAGGAAAAAAAAAAAAAAAACAGTTTATGTTGAATAAATTATTTCTTTTGACTAGACCAAAAATAAAAAAAGTAACTATTAAAATAATTATCTCTTTTGACAGGAAAAAAAAAAAACCCAAAAGAAAAATATTTATTGAAGAAATTATCTCTTTTGTCAAGAGAAAAAAAAAAAAAAAAAAAGTACCGGAAAAAGAGGATTAAAAATATACATATATATAGATATATTGAATAAATTATTATTTTTTATAATACCATAATATATATATATATATATATATATATATATATATATATATATATTTCTTTTGAATAAATTAATTATTTCTTTTGATGGAATCATAAAAAATCACCAAAAAAAAATTACATCTTTTGATAGGACTGGAAAAATAAAGTCAACTTTATTGAATAAATTATTTATTTTGATTGCACTAAAAAAAGTCACGAATATAGCACAGGAAAAAAAAAATAGTAAAGGAACTAAAGAAAGTACAAAAATAAAAATAAATAAGTTGTATAAAGGGTAGTTATAGAATTATAAAATAAGGTATAGTATCATTAATGAATTGAATGATCTTCTTGTCATTTTATTTGAAAAAAAAAAGACAAGTGTAGTGTAATCGGAGAAAAGTGGAGTGCTAATATTATTCTCTTTATATATAATAGAGATTTATAATATATGTGATACAATGTATATATTTGGAACCAAAAAAAAAAATCATCCAAACAGTTGAAGAACTTGCCTCTTTGAAACTTAGTAGACTAGAAACTCAGTTAGAAAATAAAGAAGTTAATTGTCAACGGAATAAAATAGGAACTTCAAATAAAAAGAAACAATTTTCACGAGAAAATATTATTTTCCCGTGTTTTTTGTGAGAAAAGTTTTGGGAGAAACTAGTCTAATGCGAGAAATTATATTTTTTATTACGATTTTTTTTTTCATCTATCCAAATTCTAAAAAAATTAAAAAAATTTCTCTTTCCTTTATTTTTTAGTTGATTCAATCTAACTAAACGAAGCCTTAGTTTTTTTTATCTGAAATCCGGTGTTAAAGCCTTACATCCTCGTCTAAAAACGACATTATGCAAGACCCATAAGGTATTAACCGAAATACAAAGAGTTGTAATCCAAATGTGGCTAGCCCAAGATGACATGAACTAAAATCCCTGCTGCACAACAGTTGTTTGGTATATATACATGTAACAATTTTTTCTTTTTTACGTGCATCACAAATTAGAGGGACCAGACAATTATTGTGTAGAAGAGGATTTTGATCCAAAAGACATAATGCAAGACTCATAAGCTATTAACCGCAATTCCGCTAATAGTCCATATAATAACCGCTACTTCTCGAACAAAGCAAAGAAGATGAGATGGGATGCTCGCCCAAACGACGATACGAGGTCATAAATTCTTTGAAACAACAAGAGGCTGGTAACACTCACCATTAACACAACTCAGTTAGTTTGAATACATATCCTATACTAGAATCACAATGATTTCAATCACAATGATTTCAAACAACTTGAGTATTAAGAAGCAAATAAGAGAAATAAATACTCAACATATTGACTCAGAAACGAATCAAAATTGAAGAGTATATGGCCCTTCTCATCTACTCAGAAACTCACATTATTTATCCGTTTATTACTTCTAATCTAACATTTTTGTCTTAAAAAAAAAAAAAAAGATAAGAATTGAAGAGCATATTGAGTTGCTCTCCAATATCCCAAGGAGCCTGACTTCGCACCTTCTAACTTCTCTTATAACTTTCTTGTCTTAAAAAAAAAACAAAGAAAAAAAAAAAAAAACTTCAATGTCACATTTCTCTAGTCAGTAAATATCTTTGTATTAAATTATCATTCCATATTATGCATGTAACAAAGCGAAGACCTGACTGTCTTGACCATATCACTTCAGCAGTCCACTTTTGAACACCAACCTTGCAACTAATCAGTGCGCTCTAACGAAAATTATATAAATTCTCTGCGGTAGAGCGTTCGAGACTCCTTAAGGAGTAAAGATAATTTTCTCAAGTTTCAAAAAATAAGACTAAGATTAGATTTGAGTAAACATTGAATATGCAATCAACAAATAAGAATGCCAAATTTTATTACGTGAGTTTAATATTATTCGGTTCTGATCTAAATGAGATGTTAATGTCATTTTTTGAAATTAAAGGAGAGGTCTCAATCACATTCAGGGTTGAATGTTATGGTGACATCCATGGACTTCCACACACTTGCTTTTCCATACTACAAAATAATCATTATTTAGTGTATGAAGTGGTCCGGTAAAACCTATTAATTAGCTCATCCAACAATGAGTTTAAATATATATATATATATATGAAATTAAATTATTTTTTATTATATGAAATTAGTGTCTTGAAATTAAAAAAAAGAGAAGAAATTAAAGATTTCGTACATTAATTCTAAAGCAATATAGCCTATAGGACGGGTTGAAACTATCAATGGTATGCATGCCCTTGCATTTGACCATGACATAGATTTAATAGTTCAATCTTACGATTTACTAAATCATATATCCCAAAATCCTTATTAAAGGAGTTGGCATTTGTCCAAATATCATCAATGAAATAAATCGAATTTGGTCTATATTTAGGATTGTATCTGACTGAAACAAACTTGGAATCATTATACGCCAAGAATAGAGTTATTAATCTCCTATCTTCATCCTCCCTTTGGCCAGCTTGGGATTTCAGTCATAACCGTTGATCTGATTTCAGCTATAACCGTTGATATCCAGTTCCATCAGCAGGATTATCAGAGTGGAGAGAGAAAACTAACCTTCTTGTTCGCAGACGGTGGTTTCCAAGCAGAAGAAAGCTATTTCCGCAAAAGCTTGGCTATGGTTTTAAGGTTTTTCTATCTTTTGACTTGAGATAAGAAATTACTAATGGGCTACTTAGTAAACTTTACTTATTTATCATATGTAAAAAATTACTGAAATGGAAAAAATGGACAAATCATCAACAAGAAATTCAAAATTCTATCATTAATATTTTTCACAATTCACAAGTTCATAATGCACCTTGCCCCACCCCCAACAAACTCATATTTTTCACTGCACAACCAGAGAGTTCCCTTCAATAAGCATGGTTCAAGGGAGTTTCCAACACTAAACCCTTAAAAAATTACTCAGCAGCACATTTGGACATATCAGGGCTTTTAATCTCAAAAAGACATAATATAAGACCCACGAAGTATTAACTGCAAATACTCCATATAATAACAGCTACTTCCGGAAGCAAGCGAAGAAGATGAGATGGGATGGGATG